TCAACATATTCTTGAAAGTTTATTTTGCAACTATTCTATTTTTTATAAAAATAAAATTTATATATGTATATATAACTTTTGTTTTATTAGTAGTATTTTTACTTTATAAACTACTTTTACACAAAAAATAATTTTTCTTATAAGGAATTTTTTTAGTTATAAAGTGATTTTTACTTTTCTGAGAATTATAACATTCAAATATTCATGGCTTTTCGGTCAATAGAAGTATAGTGATTTCTTGCTTCGATTGTTAAGGTTGGTATTGTACTATATTAAATTAGGAAGAAGAGTTTTATAGTAGCTAGTATATAGACGTTCATTATCTTGTTAGCGCTAGTGCATATGTTAAACTTTGTTTTAGGGGATTTTCTATGTACGTACCTTCATTCCATTAAGAACTAATTTTTTTAATCTCCTTAAGGGTTTTAATTTATTTGTTATTCTTGTTATTTTTCGACAACAATCTTAAGACAAATTTATTATGAATTAGGGATGTGTTTGACATGCTCATAAGAGGCTAATAAGAAAGTTATTTCAAATAACAAATTAATTGACATGAGTGTGACACTTGGGGGAATAACTTTATCTCAAAAGTATTATGTTGATGAAGTCCTAGATAGAATAAAGACAGGTGTCAAAGAGACAAGTTTCTAATTCATCCAAATGTGACTATGATGTAGGGGAAGATTATAGGAAAGATAAAAATCCAAAGAAAAAGAATTTCAACGAAGGAAAATTCATGAAAACTTTATTTCATTCAAAACTGAGCTGCCTGAAAGGACTTACAACGTTTAAATAGCGAAACTCTAAGAAAATTCGAAAAGAAATTATCTAATAATAAAAATATTATTTTTTTCCAAAAATGAAAAAAAATTGAGATAATAACGGATCTTGATTCTCCTAATCATTGACGAAAATCAAATCCGAGTTTATTTGACTAAGATATTGCCAAAACAAAAATTACCATAAATGAATCTCCTAATCATCAGGATCATCCTCAACAAATGAAAATCAAATCCAAATTTATTTAACTAAGATATTGTTAAATACCATAAACGGCAAAAACGCTTAATTGAGAACCTAAACGATGGAATTTGCCCAAAATTTGACGTGTATCAGGGTCAAGGCCTTGAGTTGTGATCATTGGCTCGTTTTCAATCAAATTAGACTAGCAATTTACTAAAAACGAACAAACCCGAAATTAAATGAAATTATTAATTTACCTTCATCAGATTCTACCTAAAAAAATTTGAAATGGAAATTAACTAGAATAGTTATACATAATTGAAAGAATTGTACATGGTTATACATACATATCTTATACAATAAGAAAACGTAGTTTTGGGATACTAGAGAGTATGCATTAGACTATGTCAAGTATTCATTCATTTGTATGTATACAAACTATATATATCATATACGTGTTAATCTAAAGTATGTTTAGGAAATGTTTATAAATAATTTAAAGTATGGTACGAAAATCTTCTAAATGAACATTTATAGCTCGTTCTGTTAAGGAATAGAATCCCACGTCGAATAAAAATATAAACATAAACCAGCTTATAAAGGATTAAGTTACTCTTCTTAATAAAGTTGACATTTTAATATGGAACATCAAATCTTAACATGACATCAGAGTCCATTAAACTCTAAAGAGCAATTCAATCCGATTAAGATTCCAAAAGAGAGCATACGGATTTCAAGATTGATCTGCTCAAACGAGTCACCATCTTACGTGGACATGTTAAGGGATAGAATCTCATTTCGAATAAAAATGTAAACATAAACCAACTTATAAAGGATTGTATTACCCCTCTTAATAAGGTTGATCTTTTAAAATGGAACCTCAAATCTTAACACGTCCCATTGGGAATTTGAGTTTACATCTTTAAATAAAGTTGGAGAAATAGAATGGTTGAGACATTTCATAGAAAGTCATAACAAATATGTCATAAACATAATATCATTTGAGAGTTACTCCTAAATGGAAGAAAAATTCAATTGTTAGTGACATAGCAACCCATATATGTACATGGGCCATCTACATGGCGTGATGACATCCCGCTAGATCGCTTGCCAAAAGCGCTAAGATACAAACAAAATGGTACGATTTTGCAGTTGCAGTGATTGGAATTGAAATTTCTAGTGTAACGTGTTTAAGATTGAAAAGTCGCGTCCAATTCAAAATAGTGTATTAATCTAATAGTTCAAATCTCTTTGTGCCAAATGTTGTAACAATTTAGAGAAGAAACGTGGAATTCTATATATAAGCTCTCCCTCATTTGATTCAAGCACTCTAATCAAACGTTATAAATTCTTCTTACTTTAAAGGTTTTTTTTTTTTTTTCCAAGTGTTCGAATTCTTTCTAGTCAAGACAATTGCTATACTAAACTTGAAAGATGTAACGTCCATTGTCAGTGAAGATTTGCCAAGTGCACACCTCACTTCGTTTTGTTACTAAGTTGTTGGATTTAAATCTCCACAAGCATTGTCTTTTATTCAGTTAGCTTTAGTTCTGGAAAGAATATTAGTAACTTTATAGAAATTTTTCAGGAGGAATAGTGGTGGAGCAAGAAATGTGTGTGAATAATAATGAGTAGCAATTTTGAATGTGGGGTTGAAATTAAAGATCGATTTTTGATTTGAGTCTCTAATAACGTTTCCCAAGCGGAGGCTTATAGTGGTAGTTTTTCGAAAATAAGTAGATTGAGTTTCTTCAGGGTTTAAATATACATAGGTAGGACATACCTAGTTTGAACATCGATAAGCATAAAGAAAGATAAAATGCCAACCTGATGATAAATTTACCACCAAAAAAAAAATTCTTGTAACCTTTGATCCGTTGACGAAAGTCATCATCCTTGGAAATTTAAGTGGGGGAAACTAATTACGATGATGTTTATGGACGGTAAATCTATAGAAAATTACCAATGACATTATTAGTGGCGATCTTCATTGACTTCTATCAATACTCTAAATTTATTTGCATATCGACTGGGAAATGTACTTTAGGAGCACATTGTTTTTAGTTCCCATTGTATCCATCACCATCTCTTTTTACAGGTAAAGTTTGTTGTAACGGGTGCCATTGAAAATTCACGAAAATTAGCATCGTAGTTCAATTATTTTCCCTGTGTTTGTAACGACTAGTAAACCCTTTCATCTACGGATGTAATGTCATGTTTATCTCATTTAAGAAACTTTCTATTTCCACATTTAGAGCGTGAACATCTAATCTTGTCACCTACGCCTAGTTGTGAAAATACAAATTCAATAAACTTTTCCCCAACATAATAAATTTGCCAGAGAGACATCTGAACAGTCACCACATCCAACTACATTTGCACAAAACATACCACTAGGAAATATCACGTGATAAGTACACGTCTCTCCTGTTTAATAACTTAAACTTTTATACGAGGTCATACAAGCTATACTTAAAGAATATTCAAGCCATTATTCTACAATTATGTACACCTATGTAATAGCAACAAAATGCTTCGTTCAATCAGCTCAATTGTTTTCCTCTTAGTTATTTTTCGTGTACAATTTTTACACCTCACTACAAATTTGATGAGGTGTCAAAATATTGTAGGTCACGTGCTCAAAATTTAGAGAGATTTAGTGGATCTTTAATAATTCTAAAATTTTGACACTTCAAAATCAGAGTATAATTAAAAAGTTAATACATGTAGCACCACTGGTATCTAATACTAGTCTAGGTGACAGTGGACTCCACTTATTGATTGTCCATTTAGTTGTGATTCATTTTTATTCATTAGAATTTGCATAGTATTATTGGTTTCAAAATTCAATATAGGGATAGTTGAGAGTACAACCTTACAAAGACCTCGCATATCTAAACTCATTAAATGACAATACAAAATTCTTGATACGTAATTAGAGTATCTTCAATCTTAATGTGGATTGCACTAGAAGGTTATCACATAAGCTAAAATAGAGAATATCTATGAAACATTCTTCTTCGAGGCAACATGTTTAGGACTATATTTAGCGCATTATCAATACGACTATTAGATGTAGATGGTCTTTTATAGGGACTCATTAACCAATATATATATATATAATTTTGAACTAGGTCGTATATTCATTAGATAGTAATACCAGCAGTCTTCCACCCTGTACCCTTGGAGACATAACCTGCGATTTACCTCCTTCACCAAGGTCCAGGGCAGGGCAGGTGGGGGCCGCTAAGGATGCGGTTCATCCTTTACATAGTAATACCACGTAGATCGGAAGCCTATTTAAATGCCACCTAGATTGAAAAGATTACGGCTCATCCTTTTTTTTTTAAATAAATGCATTGAAAATGCTCTTACTAGATTACAATTTTATATTCAAACATCCAAAACTGCTTTAATGAAGAGAAATGTACCTAACTAATTGTAGGAAGTTGTAATTAAGTTTGGAAATATTGTTACTTTAAGATAACTGTTGTAATAATTTGGTTCTTTTTGACCCAATAGAAAGCAATAAACGAGGAGGGTTCCCTGAAATCTTTTGTACAAATCTCGCATAGTGCATTTTACATGTGGGATCCAACATAATTTGTTCTTTTGGTTTCTGATTCCTAGCTATATATGTGCCTCATCCTCAGGTCTGAACCTCAGAAAATTATTCTTGGACAATATAAAATACTCATTCCCAGGGAATTTCTTTCAGTTAATGCTCCTCTTGCTATTAGTTCTGTCATATCATTTGCATGCACTGTTACAAATTCTAGCCTCTTCTTCTCACCTCAAACTAGAGCCTGTAGAACTCTCACAAGGTACCCCACCCCCACAATAAAGATTGTAAGAATATATATGTATGAATTTTTGTTTCTGAAAATGAGTTTGTGATTGTGTACACAGAAGGCCAAGAAAAGTAGAGATTTATTGAAAGCAGTATGGCTAAAAAGTTTCAGAAATCTTATTTTGATGTGTTGGGCCTATGCTGTTCATCGGAAGTTCCTCTGATAGAGAGGATTCTGAAATCAATGGACGGAGTGAAAGATTTTTCAATCAATGTTCCGACTAAAACAGTTATTGTCATCCATGATACGCTCTTGATATCTCAGTTGCAGATAGGTAATTCATTAATAACCAAAATTTCTACACTTTCTGTATTTGAATAATTTTTTATTTTTTTTCAATATATTTTTAAGGGGTCATGCATAGTGTATTGCCAAAGTTTAGTTGACTGCTCCATACGGAAAAAAAAAAAAAAATTAAAAAAAAAAGGAGGAAAATTTGATGGGTTCCAAATCATGCACGGTACAGAAATTAGGTTGAGCTTTTTTTTTTTTATGACTCGGGTGTTCAAGTTTCGTTCGACTAATCCTGAGGAGTGACGGCATTCCCTTCTGGTTCACCACCGGATTAATCCGGATGCGGTCACAATACACACTTGAGCCGAACATTCGGCAAAATTGAGCTTTTTTATTTTTATTATAGGAGGTGAGAGGTTGGTGTTCATGTGAGTAATAGAGGGGCGGGGCGGGCCAGGACAGGGAAAAGGCACCCTTTATGACAAAATGCGGCTGATGCAAAGTTTATTAGTGTTGTTTGATTATTATTTGTTCCACTATGTTGGTGCTTTACGTTTAGCATTTTTGTTGTCATAATAAATTTTGCTGCAGTGTCAATGGCTTCACAAAGCCTCTGTTTAACGAGGATTAAAATCAGATTTTTAGTAAATTTTGATAAAAATTGATGAAATGTATGGTTGAAAAATTATGAGATTCATTAATTATGTAGTTAAAAATAATAGTTGATTTTGACTTAGATTAAAATTAAGATTTTAATTGATACCAAACAGAGGCATAATGCCAGATGCATCATATCATTGGACAATTTAAAACACAATTAGCTTTTATATTCAATCATTTACTGTCACATACACATGCGTCAACCTTTTTGTCATTTTCATTTCTGGCAAAGTAGATTAATCTATGTATCTATCTATGCATGTATAAATGTATATACATGTATANAATTTTTTTCACATTTCAACAGCAGTCTTTGTTTCATTAATTTATCTAATCACGTTATCAAACAAATGTAGAAAGATGGAACTCATACAGTTTCATCAAGTTCATTTATTTTACTTTCTTTAAGATCATCTAGCCATGACTCATTAGTGGCGTTTGTACATTTTTGTTATAATAAAGTAGCCATCATTTTTTGGCATTAGAAACTAAAATCTCAATTACCATTGAAAACATCGAATTCAAAATTTGAAGTAGTCATACTCGCGGGAAAAAAAAAAAAAAAAAAAACTTTTCAAGATTATGGCCATATTCATGTAATTCGTGTTTTGTTTGGCAAAAAAGGAAAAAAACGATGACCTTTCTTCAAGATTATGGCCATGTTCATTTAATTTGTGCTTTGTCACTTGTGCCGGATACGTCTAAGAATGTTCATTTTTCCCTCCTTTATCAATTTTTTAGTTACATAGTTGCAAGTTCCAATAGGAGGAAATTTAATAGAAACTATTGATTTTTATTTGTAGCGATTTGCAAGTGAAATTTACACTCTTTTCAGACAACGATTTTATAGTACATATTTGGTACACAAGTTCAAACTGTGACAACATTTTATTTTGTTTGGTGTTGCTGGTGGGCAGTTAAGGCACTGAACCAAGCAAGATTGGAGGCAAATATCAGAGCATACGGGGAGAAAAATTACCAGAATAAATGGCCAAGCCCATATGCGCTGCTTTGTGGTGCCTTACTTTTGCTGTCATTTCTAAAGTACGTTTACAGTCCCTTGGAATGGTTAGCTCTTGTAGCAGTTGCTGTTGGAATCATACCAATTGGGTTAAGGGCAGTTGCATCTATACGCAATCACACACTCGACATCAACATCCTCGTTGTCATTGCAGGTACCTATCGATATATACGTGCACAAACTAGAGATTGTTCAGGGTGTGTTAATTTTGATCTACCTATTCCACCTCTAGTTGGTTTAATTTGGTTTGCTCCATTTGCCTTCAAGTTTCTTGATGAATTATTTAATGTCTTGCAGTTGCTGGATCAATTGCTCTAAAGGATTATTGGGAAGCTGGCACAATTGTCTTTTTGTTTACAATAGCAAAATGGTTAGAGTCAAGGGCAAGTCGCAAGGTTTGCATATTGTAGAATTGATCTCTTGCCCCAATGGGCTGGATAAAAACTTTTCAATGCTAATGTGGCAGAAAAAACATTAAGCGTGTGTCTGGTTGGAATTTTAATTGTAATTCCAACCGTTGCAATGGAAAAATTGGACCGTTGCAATTAATTTACGTTGCATTGGAAAAATTGGACCGTTGTAGTCAATTTCTGGGCCCCAGTTGTGAGTGGAGCAGTCAATAATTGCAGCTGGTTTGCTGTTAACGGCTATAAAAATGATTTTAATTGGTTTGAAAAAGTGTTCCTAGACACAGCCTAAGTATGATTCTCTGAATGTATGAATGTTGCAGTGAGAAGTTTTTATTCTGTTCACAGATCTGCTGCATATTAATAGTAACATTATATATGCATTTAATGAATTCGACAAATAATTGAACTAGGAATAGTCAGCATTAACATAAACTTGGCAATTTGGATAGAATGTATTTATGTGTTTTAATGAAAAGATTTTTCTTCAACTATGTAGGCGACTGCTGTCATGTCATCATTGGTCAATGTGGTACCTCAAAGAGCTGTCCTTGCAGATTCGGGAGAAGAAATCAATGCTGATGAAGTCAAGTTGAACACCATTCTTGCTGTTAAGGCTGGTGAAATTATCCCCATTGACGGAGTCGTTGTAGAAGGAAACTGTGAAGTAGACGAGAAAATTCTGACCGGAGAATCGTTTCCGGTGTCTAAGCAAAAAGATTCGGTTGTTTGGGCTAGCACGATCAATCTCAATGGTACTTTTTTGAACTTACACTTGTTCTATTGTTGAATGATGATTACCTGTTGATCTTCTTAATTTGCACATTATTAGGCTACATTAGTGTCAAAACTACCGCCGTTGCTGAAGATTGCGTGGTAGCTAGAATGGCGAAGCTCGTGGAAGAGGCTCAAAACAACAAATCGAAAACGCAAAGATTTATAGACAAGTGTGCCAAGTACTACACACCAGGTTAAGGATTTAAATTTACCAATTTTAATGTGCTAAGACCTGCCAAAAATAAAACGATGAAAAGAACCGCAACATTTTAATGAGTGAATCAACTGAAACTCGGCAATTTCTGCAGTGATAGTGGTGATTTCTGCAATTTTGGCATTAGTTCCTGCTGCATTCAAAGTTCACAACAAGAAAGAATGGTACCACTTGGCTCTCGTTGTTTTGGTTAGTGGTTGTCCATGTGCTCTTGTTCTTTCTACACCTGTCGCCATGTTGTGTGCACTATCGAAAGCGGCAACACTAGGTCTTCTGTTTAAAGGAGAGGAATATCTTGAAGCTCTTGCTTCAATAAAGATCATGGCTTTTGACAAAACCGGGACAATAACAAGCGGAGAATTTGTTGTGGCAGATTTCAAATCTCTCTTGGATGATGTTAGCTTGAACACGCTTCTTTACTGGTATTAATTATCCTACACTTTCAGTTACTAGTCAGAATTGAACGTACATTACACGTTATTTTGAAATACTTTATTAGTGCTGTCAAAATAATATTTGATATCAATTTTTTGGGAGTATTTGATGAGTACGAACTAAAAATAATAATAATAAATTTTAGGATAAAAATTTAAGAGTAACAATTTTTTTTTTAATGATGAAATACTACAAATGAGCAACATTTTTATACTATATTTGATACATAAGAATTAATTTCTAATACATGAATTTAAACACCCATTAAAATTCCTAAATACATGAATAGAAATAATTTCATCTATAATAACTTTAGATTCATGTAGATCAAGATTCATCAAATCAAGATTCATTAAGTCTAAATTAATATGAATGTTAATTAACTGAGAATTAATAACACGAAGTTCATATATTACAAGAATTTTGTAGTATTTATTACGTATTGAAAAACAAAAAATTAGGTATTATAAAAATAATTGAATTGTAGTAGGATTAAAATTGTCCAACAAAGTATTCTCACTTAATTATGTGATATTTAATATATTATAGATAATTGGCAAATGCCAAAAGAGAAAATATGAAGTTCACTTGGAGCACATTCGTATATTTGTTTTCCCTTAGTACACAAGATGCTTCCTAAAGAAAATTTGAACATCTACCATGAATATTGCCAGGGTTTCAAGCATTGAGAGCAAATCAAGCCATCCAATGGCATCTGCTCTGATTGACTTTGCAAGAGAACGTTCTGTTGAGCCGAAGCCTGAAGAAGTTCATAAATTTGAAAACTTTCCCGGTGAAGGAATTTGTGGGAAACTTGAAGATAATGAAATCTATATTGGCAATTGGAAAATATCTTCAAGAGCAGGGTGTACCACAGGTGAAGAACTCGACCTCTGTATCCTCAAACTTCACTTTGAGGCTAATAATATACAATGCCGCAAATAAAAGTAATATTTGTTGAATCTTAAATACGGCAGATGAGAAGTAATCTTTTTTCTTGTTTAACATTAATCTTCATTAATTTTTGACATCCAGTTCCAACATTAGACGGTCATAATCTAGAAGGAAAGTCTGTAGGTTACATTTTCTTGGGATCGTCTCTTGCTGGCATCTTCAGTCTCTCTGATGTATGTAGAACAGGGTCAAATGAAGCCTTAAAAGAGCTTAATTTGATGGGCATTAAAACTGTTATGCTTACTGGAGATTCCTATGAAGCTGCCAAGCATGCACAAGATCAGGTAATGCCTCCTTTTTACATGATCTACTTCTATGTGTTCTTACTTGCTATAGCATCCAAAAAATATTGTAGTTTGGTAAACATTTGTTTCTACTCTATTGTGATATTAGCAAACTTCCATCGTTAGATCAACATAGGCCTGCACCCAAGAATTAGTATAGACAGTGTAGCCTGCTTCTTCCATATCATCGTTAGATCAACATAGGCCTGCACCCAAGAATTAGTATAGACAGTACTGCCTGCTTCTTCCATATCATCATTATAACGAGACCTAACAGAGAAGATATCTGGCTAAAATCTTCGAAGCTTGTCAAAAGAAAATATAACTGCGATTTATTTTAGTGCTTTTGAAGCACAAAGATGACTAGTATTAGAGAGCACATCAACACATAAAATAAAATTGTTTGTGAACAGATTTTGGTTATTTTTTAGCCTCTCTTTGATCTCCGTTACTTTCAAAATACATTTTTATCTCTCTTATTTCTAATCATACATTCTTCAACAAAATAATATTACACGCAAACCCAAAACTTTTCCTTATTTTTCAGCCACACGTTCTCCATTCCAATATACATTCATAAGAAAAAATGGGGCTCAAATGGATATTTAGTGTCTTACCTGATGCACCCCAAAAAATGTGCTTGATTTAGTTTATGAATTTTTTTATTTTTTATTTATTTATTTCAGTGCACCTGAAGTATATAAACAAAGCATGAGTGGTACAGTAATTAGGCATTCATGTTGTTGAACAAGATGAACTAGTTAAGTACATTTTTCTGCAGTTAGGGGGTGTTTTAGAAGTTGTACATGCAGAACTACTACCAGAAGACAAGGCAAGAATTATTAAAGAACTCCAGAAGGAAGGTCCAACAGCCATGATTGGTGATGGTGTGAATGATGCTCCTGCATTAGCTACTGCGAATATAGGTATCTCAATGGGTGTTTCAGGCTCTGCGCTTGCAACAGAAACGGGACACGTAGTTCTCATGTCCAATGACATTATGAGGATACCAAAAGCTGCACGTATTGCCCGGAAAGTCCTAAGAAAAGTCATTGAGAATGTCATAATAGCAATTACAACCAAGGCTGCAATATTAGGATTGGCCCTTGCTGGTCATCCATTAGTTTGGGCTGCAGTTCTTTCGGACGTTGGGACGTGCTTGTTAGTTATCTTCAATAGTATGCTTCTACTAGGAAAGACGAGACACGGGAAAAAATGTCGCCAGACACATGTCCACAAACATAAATGCAAGACTACAAGTGACAGTTCTTCTCATAACCACAAGCCTTCTTGTTCTGAAATTGAATCAAAAAAGAAGTGTGAGGCTCAAACATGCTCTTCCAAGAAGTGTGAAAGCAGGAAATGCTCAAACTCTGCTGAAAAACAAGGTTGCTCTAAACAGAGTAATCTACTCAACAAGGAAGGAGATATGGATCATCGGTGCTGTGATCATAAAGTCGTTCAACATTTGGAACCACGGAGTGCTCACAATCATTCAGCACATTTAAGTTGCAGCGAGGAAAATAAATGTGGAAACTCGACTCCGAGGATCGACATTTGCAAATCTGACGAAGGGCTACACGACACACACTGTGATAATGACGACCATAGTACCCCAACATGTAAGAGTACTTCACAATCAATGGAATCTGATGACAACAAGAATTCTGAAAACCATTGCCTGGAAAACCATTGTGTGAATTCCAAGAAAGATGAGTTTAGTGACAAAAAAATAGGCATCGCAGAGAGAAAATGCTGTGCACATACACACCAAAACGAGGAGGCTCATTTGGGATGTGAAAAGCATGTTGCTGAAGGCGATAAACACGCGCATTTAACAATCAACTCTTGTTCTGTGTTCGATAATAGCCATATAGGTGGATGTTGCGACAGCTTCAGGAAGGAATGCTGTGCCTCAAATGCACAGTATGGATGTACATTGAGAGGAAGCCTATCAGAAATTGTCATTGAGTAGATGCCCGTTGCAAGTTTAAGAACGACATAATAAGTTTCACTAACCTTGCAATAGAGAGTTTGAGCAAATTTTGCTCGAACATTTTGCACCCCAAATCAAGTGTATTATAGATTAATAAACTTCTTGGGTGGCATTCTTCTTTATCTATAGGATCGTTATTACAATTTCTAATGGCTGAAAGAAGCTGAGGGTGAATTTTGGTATACAACGAACTGTAGGGTACCTAAAGTATCCATCATTCAATCTAAACATATAAATAAATGAGAATTGATGAGCCACCTTCTAGTTTAAATTCTCATAATTCATGCATAATACTGAGAATTTTGATTCATATAGAATATCAAGTATTTGACAGACAATTGAGAACACTTCACTTTCATTCCATCTGATCATGATTTCTCCCCATGTAGCTGATCTAATATATTGTCAATTTTCCACTATTCATTTTGCACTGACATATTCATGTAGGCGGAAGTGTAGAAATGAAGAATGACACTACAAATCTCTCATTAATTTGTTAGAATACCAAGGATTTGGGAATCAAAAGTTCATTAATTTCGAAGAATACCGAACTTTTGATAAATTCGAGAAAAACTCTCAATACATAATATCTTTGTATTCAAAACAATTTGTATTACAAATTTACAACAATGAATTATTATGTCTTAAATATAAGCAAGTCTTTGTGCACAATAAGGTAAGAAAAACAACTAAAAGGGGATAATAGAAAACTAATGGACTGAAGTGATATGTCGACTTCAGTAAGGTAACTCTAATTATAAGGTCTGAGGGTATGAAAAAGTCTTCATCGTTGTACGTCTCCATCTACTAAGCTTTTTCGTTAACCTAGTGGCAACACAGAACAACTGGGAGAAGGGGGACATTCCCATTCAAGAATGAATACCCTCCAGGGTACAATAATATATTTACGACATCTGAATCTTATGATGCGTCAAAGAGATACTATACTAGATATATTGTGATGAGGAGTATGACTAGGATACATAAAGTATAACTTCCTAAGTTGTTACTTCATCTGGTCTTCGGACAAGGTAAGTTTATTTTTGTTACAATTTTAACTCTGCATTTTGTTTTATGTCCATTTTTAATAAAATATGCAGCTAGCTTATAGGAGTTTCATTTAAAAACAAAAAACAAAAATAGTGATTGGGTTACTCTTGCAAAACATTGGTAGTCACTGAACTTACGGGAAAGTTTCAATATGGTCAAATAACTTTTTTTTTCTATTTTTTCTTTTTTTAGTTATATTGAGTGAGCTCACTATGTTCACTTTAATTATTTATACTAACGGAAAAGTCTAACGTGTAGATGAAAGAGCAAGCATGGTGCAAACCGTCACTTTATGATTATAAATGTCTTTTTTCTATCGGACCTACCTCACTATTAATGTTTGTTATGCAAATGTCATTCACAAATTAAAATTCAATGACCAAATTAAAATATTAAAGTTCGACAACCTACGTGAATTTTCGATCGAGTACATAAATAATGAATGTAAAAAAATAGAAATGCAAAAACAAAAGAACTCCTCCATTTCTCAACCATGTCTAGTCTGATAGATAAACTTCAACTGGATAAATTTAAACACACAAACAACCAAATGAGATATCTCCATTTCTCAGCCATGTCTAATATTCATGACATGCTAAGAACTCTTATTGATGCTTAGAAACAGTTCTATCTTGATGAAATCCATGTCTACTAGGTACTTGATGAACTCTTATTGAGTGGTATGTTGGACTCTTCAACATACCACTCAATTACCAAAATAATTGTATGTTTCAATTACCTATTAACATCCACTGAATACTCTCCGATACAAGATAATTCTAGACAGTGGATTATTCTAGAATATGGACTCTTCTAGATATGGGCTTATGGATTCACTTAACTGCAATAATTAACAAGCCCAAAACCAAATTAATAAGATGGCCCAAATCAAGTTTATTTTACAACAAGTGTTCAATTGTATCATATTGAAGATCTTCTTCGGGTGCTTACTGCTAGTCCTTCTACTGCATATGTTCCTTCTGCGACTACTCATATGAATGCTTCAGACGATCATGTTGCAACAACAATCGCGCCGGTGACAGTTCCTTCTAATTGCACTTCTCTTCTGGTGCACAGATACATCAGCTGACCGATGAGCCTTCTACACTTCCCTCTCTGCAGCTCAGTATCAGGCACACCCGCGTGGGCGGAGCTAGGGGGGCTGGGGGGCAAGTGCCCCCCCAACTTTTGAATTTTTTTTNTATAAATTTTAATCTAAATCAAAGTTAACAATTAATTTTAATAACATATTTAATGGAATCCATAACTATTTAACTTTTATCAAAATTTACTAAAAATTTGATTTTAATCGCCACCAAATATCGACAAAATCACAATAAATTTAAATTTTGATAATTACATGCTAATTTTAAAATTTCTCCGACGATCATACACTAATCGAATCTACGAATTGCTTACGTCATCTCAAAACTTATTTCGAGAACTACATTATGGCATATTGTTGTCCAAACAGATATCGAAAATAGTTAAAAATACGTTAAACATGAGTCTTAAAAAAAGACGTCTAACTCGTATTTTTTTAAAAAATTCAATTATTTCATTAACATTTATTATTTTTGCTATGCAAATTTCTCAATGTAATTTTCATCATTTTATTAGGAAATTTATATGAAATATCACATCAAAATTTTTCGCTATTTTACATCCGAAAAAGTCATATCCCATGTAAATTTTCGGATATAAAATTACATGGGGTATGATTTTTTTGAACGTAATTTTTTTATTGTAAAATTTCTTCAAACTTCTTTGCAAGTTCGATTATGTCCCCCTAACTTTTATGGTCTGCGTCCGCCCCTGCACACCCGATCATCTCAGTGATCTTGATGAGTTTATCTCTACAACTTCAGGTCATCTGTTATTCATTTTTGTCTTATGATTCTATTTTTTGACCCACTTTATACAAGGAGTCTTGCGTCTTATTAATATGTAGCTTATGTTAGAAAATATCGTATATCGTTAATTGTGAAATCATCAATCATGTATATATTCTGAGACTCGATTTTGTATCCTACAACAAAATTGTTTTTAAGAGCTTAGAGATTACTTTTTGATCAAAGGGTTCTTGGTTCAAAATTTAGATCATAGTCCAAGTGTTCATTGTTAGGAATAAACAAGTTCTTCTTTTTTATATTTATTAACAGAAAATGTAAATATCCCATGTTTGACAACCAAAAATAATAATAAATAAAAATTATCAAACTCATTTTCAACTACACATTCTCACGATAAAATATTTTGCACGTAAACCTAAAATTTTCCATACTTTGTAACAATACATTTTCAAGAAAATTATTATTTCAAAAATCATTTTCCACAAAAAGACTCTTTTGTAAGAAGTGTCTATTGTCTACTATCTAGATGAATAGCTTGTGGCACTGCACCTTGGAGTTTTGCTACAAAAACAGGTCAGTGACCGATTTAAAAATAGGTGAGACACGTGTCATTCCCCAAACAGGTGCTGACAAATGCACGTCCCCCCACGCCGGTCACCGACCCTGTTTGAATAATTTTTCCCCTACACTTTGATTAGCCTAATTATACTATTCACATATTTCTTTGATAGCAAATCAACCTTTATCTAAACATCAAATGCAAAAATTTGCTTAATATCCGTTGGGCATGGGAGTCGTTGGAAAGCAGGATTGTCTTCTGCTACTGTTTTTAAACTACAGCTAAAAGCTTTGATGATTTTCAAGCATACATCACCTTGTATAGTTATTAGAAAAACTCCAAGTGGTAAAAGGGGAAGGTGGAAAAACTCCAATTTTGCTTGAGACTGCCGCATCAAGGGTTCGAATCCTGAAACATGGATTTGGCCATTGGGTAAGTGCAAGTGTACAAGCAGCCTTCCACTCTGTACCATTAAGGCATAACCTACGATTTACCTCCTTCACCAAGGCCCAGGGCAGGGCAGGTGAGGTGGGGGCCGCTAAGGATACGATTCATCCTTTTTTTAGAAATATGTGGCATCTTTGAAATTTAAGCATATTTATTAATAAGCATTAAATTTATGAAAATTTGAAAACGGTTGGTCAAATGATTTAATCTATAATATTGAGCACAAACAGACAATTACATGCAATAAGGTAATAAATAGTGTTGTGGTTTGACCCAAATTCTAGTGGGTATTAGAGTCTAAACTGGAGTGGTGTTGAAGAGATCAAAATTATGGATCAGAGGAAAAAATCGTCGCATTTTCTCTAGCTGAACGCTCAAGCGAGTCTGGTAGAAAACAACCCGGGACTTGATCGCTCAAGCGACAGGATTATTCAGCTCAAGCCTGTTTTCAGTTTTAACTTCATTTTGAACTTTTATTCTTCTACAACTTATTCTCTAAGTTTTATATATATATATATATAGCACGACTTGTATAGAATAGCATAACAAAACATAATAGAGAGATTCATACAACATTTTGAGAGCTTTAGATTTCAATTGAATGCATTGAGATCTTGTAAACGTAATTGTTATTGATTATAGTAGATTTTTCCTCCTCTGCCCGTACTTTTTTACCTGTATTGGGTTTCTACGTAAATCTTGATGTTTATTTTTCTTGTTTATTTCATTATCGTCATTATCTTGCGATTCAAATTCATAACAAATAGAAACGATCTAATTGTGATTCTTGAAATTAATGGATTGAACATGTTTGAGAAGTTTTTATATACAATCTTACTAGCAATATTTGCTGACCTAGAATGGCTGAATTTGAATGTGTTAAAGTGGACTTCGATGAGATCAATCTGGAGCAGCAAAGTTTGACATTGATCATTTTGTCTTTTTTTCATGAAATTTTAATTTCAACTTTTNGTGTCATTGCATATCTCGAGGTCTCTATCTTTTATATAATCTAAAATCCTGAACAATTGAGAGGGAGAAATTTATTTATATTTTCTCTTCAACGGTTT